TAACTGCATGCTTTATGAGACTTGTTTTGTGACGTTGCTCAAAAAGTAAATCTGTCTGTACTCATATGCCGCTGCGAACATGATGGATACGTAAGCGGATATGAATATATAATGACAAATGGGGCACAGAGGAGGGGAAACAGCTCGAACAATAGGGTTGTCGATTTTCCTGAAATCTCAGTTCATAAAAATAGATGTTTTAGAAATAACATCTGTGCACTTGTCCTGTTTCCGCCACAGTTAACCCCAAACTAACCAGAAATGGTGTGCAATATCAAATGTTTTTGAGAATCTCGAGTTTCACATTACAGGAATCGAGTAGTAGCAGCACTTATGGAGCAGGACGAGGGTGCATTCGTCATCCGACTTTCAGAATCAAGAAGGAGGTGTCTAGCACTGAGTGTTCGAGTACCATTCAGCCACAATTCGACCGGCATAGCACACTACCTCATCATTCGAAATGACAAAGGATTCAAACTAAAAGTTCGGCCTCTCCTGTTTTCACTGTTCCCTTTTGTAAAGTGTTTTGAGCTAAGCATTCTAGCTAGTATTACCTGACTGTGCGTGTAAGCAATTGGGGTTGAGAGTTCCACGGGTACCTCACGCGCGGAATGTGGCGTTTTGATTCCAATAAACCACAAGAATCATCGTCTAATACAGCCATGGGCAACCTTCGGCAACACGCGGGCCTGATTTATATAGTTGAGTTCGCTGACCACCTTATAATAAAACTCGGGTAGCAATGCACTGGACTCACCCGTACGATCATGTATTTTTGCGTTGAACTTGATGTCAACGCAAAAATACATGATCGTACGGGTGAGTCAGATCGTTAAGAGTATGAATGTTTGTTGCTCCGCAGTTTAACATGTGTTTGTGTTTTGGTCTTTTCTTATGCCGCGGGAAAGAGCGTCGCACGGAAACGCTCTTGAAATTATGCGTTTTGCATTTGCCTAAGACGCAAAAACGCATAAAAACAGGTGGGTTTTTATCTGGTTCCTTCCGTGGTCCGGATTGAAACTGATCGTGGTCGGATGCAGTCCGCGGACCGCCGGGTGCCCACCCGTGGTCTAAGAACTGATACGGTCAACCCCTCTTTATGTAAGATTCATTTATTGTTTCAGTTTGTTCAAACTGAATACTCTTGCTAAAAAACTCATATGCGGAATCTTGTCCAGGAACCTGTTACACAAGTAACATATAATTGAGGGCAAAGTAGCACTATTTGTGTTCACAGTTTGTGAACATTTGTGCACCGTAAATCCAGCGTACGCCACAAATGCTTACCATTTACCATTTATCCATTGCAGGGTCCGAACAAGTACTTCCAGTCAATTCCGATGCTGGTAACACATCACTCGGTGATGCCCGAACAGCTTCCCTGTCGCCTGATGTTCGTGCACTGGGGTAATACATGGAAAAGCGAAACGAACAACAATTACGAATATCCGCCGTGTGATTAATCATCCAAAGAATCCTCGCCTGAGATAACGGGAACTTTACCTTCCAAAATTTCAGAGGAAAAAAAATGTGTTTTAAGAAACTCGGAGCCTAACAGTTTGTAGTTTCCTCGAAATGTCCTCCATTTTAGCTTTTGTGATTCAGATTTTTTATGAGCTAAAGTGCCTTCCCCCGTCTCGCCCCCCCCCCTCCTCCCCCCTTCCAAACGCCCAACGCGATCAGCAAGGAGACATATCAGTGAAACACGTTTTATGACAGCTTTCTAAATAAATCTGAAGAATAACTTCAAGCAAAACTGCAAAAATACTTTTTTTTGGTGGAAAAATGCACAGAACATTGAGTTTTGCAAGCCAAGAAGTGATTCTACGCATTACATTACAGAAGAGATGGCATGCATCGGAAGGCTTTAAGGCTTTACGGCAATCTGCACAGAGTTGTCTGCTGAAGAACGGAGCTAGTATAAGGGTTGCCTCGGATGGCTGGCAACTTTGTTATGCGTTTTTTGCAGCTATGCAATGCAGAAGACGCAAATTTCGAGACCCACAAAAGCTACCGGGCTGAAACTTGTGGACCCGCACACGCATGTAGATTAAGTTCCCATCTCCGGAACGGGCGCTCTTACCCGCGTGGTACCCATTTACGGGCCCGCCAAAACTTTCGGGTTAGGCCGGGAACCTGAAAAGCTAGAAGGTTGAAATTTTAAGGTGATGTTCCTAGACCACATACGTCTCAACGAGCTCAAACCCAACCCTTGAGTACGCTTGGTACCCACGCACGGACTCAACAAAGTTCTCGGGCAAGTTGCTAACTCGAGGACCTGAAAAGCTAGAAGACTGTAGTTTTACGGGGATGTTCCTCGTCCACGTAAATCTCAATGAGCTCAAACCCAGACATCAGGTATGCGTGGTACCCACGTGGGAGCCCGTGAAAGTTTTCGAGTAAGTTGCTAATAGAAAGAGGGTTTATTTTAATCTAGGTACCGCGTGTGTCAGTGGATCGAAATACCCCTGGAAGGTTGTCGGGCCAGGCTAAATTAGGACGAGATTTATTACACGCGATAATAATTACAGGCGCGCGAGAGTAAGATGAATA